GACGAGGAGTGAGACGGGCACTTAGTCTCCCACCGAGGAGACGGACGGGAAGGCAGCGCCGTCACAGGGGAGCAGGCGCCCGCGCCCCAGGCGGGAGGGCACGCCAACGTGGACGCCGCACCAGAGGCCCCCGGAGGGCCAGCGTCGCCCCTGTGGGCTCTGCTAGGGGCACATCCCCCACGCGGCCGTGAGGAAACCACAGACCATGGGGACATGACAACTAAGCGCAGTGCGTGTCCCGGGTTGGGTCCTGGCTCTGAAAAGACGTCCAGATACGGCTGCATCGCCTCGGTGCTAACGGGAAACGGCGCCGCGTCGCTGCGACCCCCGGCCGTGAGCAGCAGGCTGCGGTGACTGAGACGTTGGCTCCGGGGAGCTGGCTGCAGGCTACGCTGGGATTCTCTGCACGGCTTCTGCACCTTTTTCATAAGTCCTAAATCATTTCAAAGTGAACAATCAGAACATAAGACTAAAATGAAAGATCCTCTTCTGTCTTTGGAGCATGTCCCACTAAGGGTGCGCACTGTGAGTGCTGGGCTCAAAAGTCATTCGGAATAATTCCGCTGTTTGTGTGGTTATGTCACGGCCGCCGTGACCACCAGTCACACTGCGTTGAATGGCATCTCCCCAGACTCACATCCGCCACATTTCCAAGCTTTGGCGATTACAAGTAAAGCTGCCGTGCGCGTCCACATGCACGTTTTTGTGTGGACATAAGTGTCCACCTCCTTTGGGTAGATACGGCATGTGACTGCTGGGTCACATGGTAAGAGGAGGCTTGAATTTGTCAAACACTGGAAACTGTATTCCACGAGGCTGGACCATGTTGCTTTCCCACCAGCAGCGGACAAGCGCGCGTTCCCACGGCTCCACATCCTGGTCAGCGATCGCCGCTGTCAGCGTCTGGACGTTGCTCGTCAACGCTTTAACTCACACACAGGGTGTGGGGCATCTTCGCACTCAGGTTTGCCATCCGCTCATCTTCTTTGGCAAGGTGTACACTCAGGCCCTTTCCCGTTTTCCACACGGGCTTGCTTGTTTGTTACTATCGAGTGCGAAGCGTTCTTTGTGTGTCGGACAACAATCCTTTATCAGATGCAAACTTTTTGCAAAAACCCCAGGCCTCTCTTGGGTCTTGTTTCAGATCTCCAAGTGCCATCCCGGGGGCCCCCTCCCGGCAGCAGCTGACCCCGCTGAGCTGGGACGTGCTCGACCTCCAACCCCAGTTTAGGCTCGGCATGGACTTACACCCCCGAATTACAGGGAAGACGCGGCTTCTGAGTGGGAGGGGAGGGCTCTAAGGCCAGCCCCTTCCTTGCACTTCACACGCCCGGCTTCTAGAGGATGTTTCTTCTCTGTGGTCTCCCGGAGCCAAAGGATCCAGAGAGAGGGAGCCTCGGGGGGGTCCTCGGGCGGGGTGCGCCAGGCAGCCCGGCTGCACGTCGAGGTGTGAGACCAGATCCCCAGTCACAGATGCCCAGGGCTGCCACAGTGGTAAGGGCAGGTGACCCATGAGTGCCCGGCCATCCAGAGTGATGACCACCCTAGGTGCTCTCAACAAAGCCAGGTACCATCCACCCTCCCGCATCTTACTGAAAATTCCTAGAAAAATCAGACTACGTTAAAAGATGCAAAACTTATGTGAGTGTGTATGTAATTAATCAGAATCCGGGCTCAAGTTTTCACTGTGCATCTGGCAAGACCTTCCAAACCTCCCTGCAGGCGAGGGCATCCAGCACCCAGCACACCCCAACTGCCCTGTCATTGGGGCGACCAGACAAAGGCCCACAAGTGGCCGAAGCAGCCTCTGGGCCTGGTCCCCCCCAGGGAGGGGACCAGGGGCCTCAGGTGGACAGCGAGGCAGGTGGTGACAAGGGCAACAGTGGACTTGATTTCCGGGGCTGCCCGACCCGTGGCGGCACCTGGCTTGCAGACCCAACGCTGGCTTTGACACTGAGGTGGAGCGGGAAGGAGGGCGGGCAGGCGTATTCACACCTCCCCAGTATCTGTCTCCTCCCCCCGGCGCGACCCCGGCCTCCCTGCTTCTTGGCCCAATCCCACCCCGCCTCCCCCCTTCCCTGACTCACCCCTCACTCTACTGTGGGCGTGACCTGGGGCCCTTGCCCACCCTGGACGGCGGTCTCCGCGCCGCGCTGAGCACGATCCCCTCTGCGGACCGTCCCCCCGTCCTAGGTCCCTCTGCTCTCCCTCCTCAGCCTTGGGGCTTCCCACTCCTGTGGGAACCAGCCTCCTGACCACCCATTCTCGACCTCCCAGCCTGGTAGACCTCCTCGGCGCCCCACCCACTCTCTGGCTGTCCTTCTGGTCCTCTGGGGTCACTAGTCTAACCACTGCCGCCCCAGCCGTCGGCCAGCTCGGGTTCCCCGACTTCTCTTCAGTGCAGACCCTGAGCCCTCCCCTCAAAGCGTCCAGCCCCTCCCGGGCGCTCACCTGACAAAGACGCAGCCCTGGGGAGCCCCACCGTCCTGCTCCAAAGCGCTTCAAACCACACTCAAGACTCTGAATGCACCACACCCAGCGACCATGCTTAACCCTAACGTCACTTTAAAGCCCCACCACCTGAACCCAGCAAGAGCTCCCGCCCACTGCTGTCACAGCGCACACCATCCTCAGACCGCGGGCGTCCGCGCCCCTACCCCAGGGGCCGCCCGCACACCTGCTTGAGAGAGCAGAGGTCCTCCTCCTCGGAAGGCTTCTGCCCTCTCCGTCCACTGCCCATGAGCTGTCGCTGCTCCTGCAGAGGCCTCGGCGACCTGTGAGGCCGTCCTCCTCCGCGGGCTCCCCACACCCTGCTCTGCCGTCCCCAGCCTCCCTCCATCATCAGGCCACCGCGCCCACCCCCTTCTCAGCCCCTGTCTCCACAGGTGCACCCTCAGGTGTGGGGCATCCAACGGCCGCCGCTCCTCGTCTGTCACCATCTGGGCCCCCAGCAGCCGGCCCTGTCCCCTGGGTCCTGTGATGCTGTCCCTGTGTGTGTGTATGTGTGTCTGCATGTGTATGTACATGTGTATGTGTATGTATGTGTGTATATTTGTATTGTGTATGTGTGCGTGT